TGCTTTAAAAGTACGATGAGGCTACAATATAATTTACTTTTACTTCTACTCATACTTTGATAGGAATTGTACTTGGATGTTTTTCTGAATTATTACACAGGTGGAACTCATCTCATATTGCACATTTCAAAATTTCATAATTTTTCCAAAAATCTTCTGCCTTCAGAAACAGAAGCCCCATGCAGATCAAATGCAGCTAGACCCAGATACAGAGCCCACTGCCGTTCCCAGCCAGTGGGACAAATCGCCATCTTGGGCTGAAAGGCTTTTGGGTCTTTTTTTACTTCCGGGACGCCACTCAGTCCTGTAATTCCCGTCTTATAATGGCTCACCCCCTATACAGAATGGGCTGCTGTTTATCTCTGTTTTATTGAGAAGATCCACCAGTTCCTTACTGGGGGGGGCGGGGTAACGAGGTAATGAGAGGCTGAACCTTTCAGAGTTGGGAAATGCGAGGGGTTGGGGGGAATCAGGGTGCATTGGGGGTGGTCAATATAGTGTGTGCTATGAAGAAAAAGGTGCGGGGGGGGCAGGGGTGCTGGGGATTGGTGTCACACTTTCTGTTGCCCCGAAATGATGTTACGGTAGACCTCCGTGGTCAACTCCACATATCGCCCCCGGGTAACATCCAGGAAGTAGAGTTTGTCGGACATGACTTGAGGATTGTAGCCGTCTCGTCGCATGTCAGATTTCTGGAACTTGTAGGTGCCTATCAAACAGAAGTCCGAGTTAGAATCAAAGGGAAGAACAAAGTAGTGTGATAAAGCTTACAGCAGGTGAGGGGTGCTCCGTTAGCGAGTGGCGGGTGACCATGCTCGCGGACTCACCCGTCTTGTCTACCTCCCGCAGGAAGCGCAGGAACACGGGCCGGGCGTACGCCGGCAGCACTCTCTCAAGCTCCTGGGCAAACTTCTCCAGATCCGTTTCATGGCTGGGGTCAGCTATCGCAGCCATTCCGGCCTTTCCCTCAGACCCTGGCCATGAATAACAACAAGAATCTCACATGTGTAATTAAGAGAATGACCGTACATATTAATGTCTAATCAAGAGTTCTAACGGTTACAGCCTGGCCATCGCAATGTACTTTGATCACACTCTCTCCGAGCAGTCACAACTCATTTTGGCTTTTTGATTTTTCCAGCGAATCAGTCGAGCATTTTAGCGGAGACTGGAAATCAGTGTCAAACAGTGAGGGAAAAAACAACAACAAAAATCATACTGATCCAAGACTGTCCACCAGATCACTTGCACAAATAGATCAAGACGAATGCTACCCCAAAGCCGCTTACCGAGTAGAGCTTTGGGTTTTCATTATACGAACAACTCAAGTCAAGCACACCAATACATTCATCGCTCAGCTCATTCATGGCAGATGAGTGCATGGAGGGAAGCAACCCTTACTTGGAATCTCCACGCCGTACACAACTACGTCCTTCATGTCCAAGAGGCGGCTAAGCGTCCCCTCCACCTCTGTGGTCGACACGTTCTCCCCTTTCCAGCGGAAGGTGTCGCCGGTGCGATCCTTAAAGAACATGTGGCCATACTTGTCCATCACCAGCACGTCGCCTGCAGAGACAGCCGGCTCAATCAGTACGTGAAAGTCTACGGCAAACTGGGCACATGTTCACTTCAGTCCTCAGAATTGCTGATAAGCCGTTTTTAAAGTATTCCTATACTACTAGAATACTGCCATCCATATTTAAAAAAAAAAAAAACTAAATTAAATGACCCACATAGTCATTTGGCCACATATATACACACACCTCAATTTGTGGAAATATAACCAAGTCAAGTCATTTGTTTCTGCATTCATGAAAAGTCTACAAATGCAAATGTACATATACAACAGAACTCAACACAAAATGTGTAAGTATTTCAAGGTTGCAATCTTAATAACTTAAAAGCGCAATTATTTTAATGGGGTTACTTCTACAGGGAGCTAAGCATCAGACAGGCTCTCCACTCAGGGAAAAGCTCGTCTGGTGGCACTTTGCCTACAGTTGCAGTTTCAGATGAGCTGCGCTCTAAATTCATGATGGACCACATGTCCGTTGTTGGCGCGAGATAATCGGCATTCCCAGTACTTGTGTCTACCTTGAGCGAACGCTGTTGCAGTAACTTGGGACAGTAGTTTTTGCAAAGTACTCGAGGCTTGGGACCACAAATTGGTGCTCAAATGTATTAAGCACATTTCCAAGTGAGGTTTTCTCCCTGGTGTGAAAGCAAGCCATTGCACGACATGTTGCCATTGCATTTGTGCACTGCTCCGATCTAACAACAATCCTGTGCTTTTCACGAACTCTCCAGCAACGGCTGCCTACACCTCAGTCTGACTTCTGGACACCCCATTTGAAATATCTGGTGCAGAAACTGACAGCGAAGGAGCTTTGCTCATCTTTGCGAATTCTGCTGAATGATGAACCGGGGCGGGTACAGATTTGTGGCATCGCCCTTTTTCGTCGTTACATCCCTTCAGCAGAAGTGACTCTGCTGGCTGCCCTTTTTTTACAGCTTGGCTCGAAACTGAAAAACTGCCAAATCACTGCGGCAGCCGGCGTCATCGCGAGGAAGTCGATCAGCTTTGTCGTAGAAATCGTTAGGCTAGCTGCGGGGCTAATTAGTGAAATGAAAATGTGCTTTTACAGGCCTAGGAGTACGCTACTTTTTAGTGCCATTAAACATGCGTGCAATCAAACAACAAAACTACCAATCATTTCAAAGCTCAATTAACCTGCATCAGTGGTGCTGCTATTGCAACAACAGAATTGTATCAGCCAAACCAGATGCCAAAAGTGCACGATCACCAATCACTCGCCTGAGAGATATGCACTATCTCCCTTCTTGAAGACGTCGTGGGCAATCTTCTTATTGGTGGCTGTCTGGTTCACATAACCATCAAACCGGCGCAGCGGGTCATTCTGAATAATTCGTCCCACTAGTTGTCCTGGCTCACCTGAAAACAATACAAAGAGTGAATTTTGGATCACTCCTTAGATATTACTTATTCCTGGCGGAAATAAGTCTAGAGAACTCATCTGGCGATAACTACGCTGCAGGAAACTAACAATGAATGGGGCAGAAGGACTCACCGGGGTTACAAGGGATGCAGACACCATCAGGCCCGCGGACCAGCTCCATGGTGTCTTCATCCACCTTTACGAGCCGGATGGGGTAGACGCCCGGGAGAATGCGGCTGTTGAACCCACAGGCACCTACCTGAAAACCCAAAGCCCAAACAGGAACCAAATTATTTCATTGCACATGAGCAGAACCAGAGGATTCTGGGCACACTGAGGATAACCCTTCGTTTACCCAGCTGGCAGGGCTACCCGGCACTGTTAGATTAACCTCTGGTCACTGGAGCCTGAAAATCAGATCCTGAGCATTTAACAAAACATGCACAAAAACAGCCTCCCTCCACAATGCTGGATTTTAATATCCCGGTACTGATAATATTGTCTGATGGTAGGTAGGTAATGCTTAACGTCATCTTAGCATCTAAGGCGCTCTCAAAGTTTCAGTCAAAAAATATTAATATAGAGATAGGAATCAAATCAAATTGGATATATGTACATGCATAAAAATGAAAACAGAAAAATATAAATGCTTAAAAATAACATATTTGATTCATTGGTGACACATTAAAAACACCTTGCAGTGGAGTTTTGGACAAGAACCGTTATATTCATTTTCAGCCCAGGAACTTTACACCCAAGACCAGCCCATTCGGTCCTCATTCTGGGGGAACTCTGATAAGAAATGTGGCATCATTTATTACACTGATAAGTCTATTACTGACATTTCAAGATGAAAATACATAATAAATAGCACAATGAACTGTTCAAGCAGTCTGACTTTTTCAGTCCTGCCTGGTCTCTTTCTAACATCCTTCGTTTGAGAAACTTCCAGTGATTAGTGATAGGAAGCTATTAGCTGTAGCACCTCCACAACTGCTCACTCAGCTCTGAACGAGACGTGATGACACTGCAGCGGGTGCCGCGGATTTGTGCGTTTCCCTATGCAGAGCAATCGTGGTCAACTGTGTGTGTGTGTGTGTGTGTGTGTGAGATAGAGAGAGATCATGCATATATTTGATTATGGAACCAAATGCCCCCACAGCCTGATAATCTGTTACTTTCATTTTGCGGGGATCATTTTTACGATCCCCACCAGTGGAAACTCAATTTGATAAAAATCTGTGACCGCAATCAAAACTAAAAATGGCAAGTCTTGTATTTCGTTTGGTTACTTATGGTTAAGGTTAGGGCAGGGTAGGGATTAGGGTTGTCATTTTTGGGATTAGGGTTATACCCATAGAAATTAATGGACGGTCCCCACAAAGATATATAATACAAACATATGTGAGTGGCCGTGTGTGCGCGCAAGGAAGTGTCAAAAGATGTCAAAATTAGCTTCCAAACGGCCCAATTTTACACTTGTCAAATTATGTTGTTTCCGATTGGCACAGCAGCTAAGCGCCGCCCGCCCCCAGGAATTCTCCCCAGTCTCCTGACTGGCTACACCAGGCCTGTCTACGGCCTTGTCTGATACATGTAAATTGTAATTTCTCTACTATGTATTAAGTAAGGGCAGCGTGTGGCTCAGTGGGCTAAGCCTGTGTGCTTGTAATCACAAGGTTGCCGGTTCAAACCCAGCCTCAGCACGTCTGTGGGTCCTTGAGCAAAGCCCTTAACCCCCAGCTCCCTGGGCGCCACTACAGGTGGCTGCCCTTCAAGGACAACTTACTCTACAAAGAGCAGGTTGAGGGAGGTGTAAAAAGAATTTCCCCATGTGGGACAATAAAGGATCGATTGATTGATTGATTAAAGTAACTGGATTCATACAGAAGTACATAACTAGGCTTTGGGTGGTAAATTTTCTGATGTTTCCTATAAGCAATACACAACAGCATCTCTGCCAAGCAACTGATTTTAAATCATGACAATTAAATTAACATTTTTAAGGTACTTTGCAAACAAACAAGGCAAAGATGCATCATATCTAATGGACGTTCATTTCCACCAGTAAGAGGAAATGCAGCAACTTTGTTCCCCTTATGAACGAGACGTTCACTGGCTTCCAGAGCCACAAGCCCATTGGTCACCCCAAGCCAAACTCCCACTCAGGGTGAGGAGGGGGCCGTGTCTGTCCCCTCAGTCGCCGCCCCTCACCTTGTTATTGAAGTTGCCCAAGCTGCAGTTGCACTCCGTGGCGCCGTAGAACTCTGCGATCTGAGGCACGCTGAAGCGGGTCATGAACTCCATCCAGATGGAGAGGCGCAGGCCGTTGCCCAGGGCCATGCGTACACAGTGCTGCCTCTCTGCGTCCCGGACAGGCTGGTTCAGCAGGTACCGGCAGATCTCCCCGATGTACTGGACAATCTGGAGCACAAGCACATGGCAGTCGGTGACGCGCTTCCGGCGGTGACGAAACTCCACGTCACCTTCCACGTGCAGATTACTCACAGTGCATTTGTACTTGATGCAGTCATCCCAAAACCGCGAGGCAGAAAACTTGCGTTTGATAACTACAGTCATGCCGTGGATGAGGCACTGCCCAACCCCTACGATGTTCCCTGTCGGAGAAAAGCGTAAAGTCGTCATCTCAGCCATCTACAGTACACAGCGAAATGAAATGACATTCCTCCTGAACCATAATGCAACGTTCGGAATGGTGAAGGACTTCTCATTAGGGGAGGGGCCAATATACATTTTTTCATTTCCGATCCGATTCCGAAACACAACTGCCAATACTGATACAGATTCCGATACAAGACCTATTTTTACTTTAATATTTTAGTATAATAAATATTATACTTTATATATTAATATTTTTAAACTACTAAATAAGAATGAAAAAAAAGTATGCCAAAAAATCATTTGAGGCATTTGCAGTTCAATTTTAATATCATCCAAGAGAGAGAGGATATGCAAAGGGGGAATGATTAAAATGACCCACAATGTTTCTCCCACTGGTAACAGCGTCACACTTTGCTGTGAGATCGCAGCCCCTCCGGTATCACAAGCTGTAGCGAGTGAGCAAACAGCCCAAGCTAGCGACTCCCAAATCATCCATAGCTTTTTTTTTTCCCATATTACTATTTCATATACTGTTGTCGTGCAAAATTCTGTGCGCTTTGTTTAGTGGGATTTTTCACTGAATGCCATTTCCACCTCTCAAAACTTTTTTTTTTTTTTTTTAAACAAAGAACACAAATCGCTGTGCTCCCAGTTGTTAACAACGTAAAATACTTCCATCATATATGCATGACGTCACGGAGGCGGGAGTCACTGCACTCACATCCACTGAGTGCAAAAAACTAAGCGGCAGCTTTAGTGTTCAGCTTGAATTCTGCAAAAACATCTAAAATAGGAAAGAACTGTGGTGCGATTGACTGTACAAATATCCTTAAAAAAATATCTTTTTACAGACTGCGGAAAACTAAATAAGTATCAGATGTGGGTCGGTCACATATGGCTGATACCCGATCCATCTAATAGGTCTGGTTCGGTGCCGATACTGATCCGATGCATCTCTACCTCTCACTGAAGGCTTGTTGGATCTTGTCACCAAGATGACAAAGTAATGAACTTAAGTAACTTGGGGTAAGCCTTGCAAGTGATTTTGAACTGTAACAGCCAGTATGTGATGAAATACTAACTGAACCGCATTGGGGCAAAATGGGCGGAGAGATGAAACGAAACACAACCTACAGAAGTAGCTCTACCCAGAGAGCTCGCCACGACGCGCCAGGTTACCTGCAGAGTGGTAGAGCGGCAGGCAGTCATATAACACATCATCTGAAGTCATCTTGAAACCATAGTAGACCAGTGCAGCCATGCGATAGTACCTGAGACAGGAAGCATTGGAGCCAGATGTGTCAATATCATCTCTATGCATTAGGAAGCCTCCTCTGATAGTCGGGCCCGGACATGCTCACCTGCTGTGAACGACGATCGCAGCTTTGGGCATCCCAGTGGTCCCAGACGTATAGATGTAGAAGAGCCGATCTGAGGAAACAGTTTCAAAATCAATCATTTCTAGAGGCTTGAATTGTTGGCCCCAAGGCGATTTGTTTCGATTACAATTGAGAGAAGAATTTTATGCATCAGAAATCTTTCATTTCCATCAAAATTTGATTTGATTAAAGGATTATTTGCTTATTTTGATAACCTAAATTAAAACATTTTTAACTTGGCGTACACACATTAATGTAACACAAAGAAAGTAGAATCTCAGAACATTCAATTTCATTGTTACAATTAAATGGGGAGAATACAGATAGTGGGATGACCTTACATAATTTTTTTATTTTGTGAACGAAAGATCAATCTGCAGGCCTGATTAGATAATGAACTATAAATTGATGGATTGTGTCATGACTTGGTAGTTTGAAACCTCTTCCAAGCGGAATATGGCTGATCATCCAATGCAATCATCTCCATTATTTTAGCAGTTGTGTCTTTAGCTGTGGCGTTGCTAACTCCACATAGGCCAGCAATATCAACTAAGACATCGAAACAATGGCGAAATGTTGATTTTTAACAAATATCGGCCAATACGTTAATCAATATAATACGCATCTCGAAGGCTAACACTGCTTTTACTTAGCTAGCTAGTTAGCTACCTCAGAATCTTGACGGTACCGTATCTTGCAAAAACAATGACTTTTGCGCTACAAAACAAATGCATTTCCAAACGTATCGTAGCACAAAGATTATCTTAACCATTAGAAAGCTTTCTGTGCTACAAAACAGGGATGTCTCCCAAGAGTATCGCAGCGCAAAGATCATCAGGTGGCATTTCCATGATGAATATTAATGAGCCTGCCCCACCCCCCCTACATTTAGGAAATTTGTGTATCGTGCTGCTACTTTGTGCATCTACCTGCAGCACGTGAACATAAGTCCCTGCAACTCAGAAGCAGGAGTATCTTTTACCCCCAAAAAAAATCAATTCTGACTTTACATATCAGTGCATTGAGTCGGCATCTTAATTATCGATTCATAACGATGCATCAATTTATCTTTAAACCCATAAACTTTTCCCCTTCAGTGTACGATTAAAAGTCTTTAAAACAGGACATCGACGATGGTTCTGGAGATCCATGTGAAGCACCTAGCAGGCAGACCTGTAAAGTTGCGCTGTGGTGGGCTGGGGAGTTGTGTGGGCATGTCCTCCAGCAGCAGCTCCAGACTTTCGGTTCCTTCGGGAACCAGCTTCTGATTCCACTCCCCGGAGCAAAACACCTTCAGTGACCTCCCCAGAGAGGCATGAACTTCACAGACAGCTGGAAGGAGGGCAGAGGAGAGCAGAGGGTGCCTTGTGTAAGTGTGGACCCCATTTCCAGTCTGCTCACCAGCAACAATTGTGAGATTTACCATCTGTTGTCAGCAAGCCAAAAAAAAAAAAAAATCAAGTTGCCTAAACTAAAGAGTTTGGGGGAGGGATCCCTGCAGGTGTTCAGGTGCATCCCAGATGCTGTGGCACTTGGTAACAAAAGGAGTGATATCATAACTCAGTCAGACCATGCACTTGGATAATAATGTAAGCACAATGAAAGGTTCTTCAGGCAATTAAAGGAATTGCATCCAAAAATGTTTAAGGCTACGTTCACACTGCCAGCCACATCGTTCAATTCCGATTCTTTGCTCAGATCGGATTTGTCTATCGACGGTTCACATTCATAACTACTAGTGACCTGTATCTGACTGTAATGTGAACGCATCGGTCCTCCGAAACGTCACACATGCACACATTGATATGTTTTTACACGGGTAAAAAGCTGGTCGTAAAGTTGGCATGTTGTGCGGCCATGACCGCTGCGCTGATTCCAGTCTTTTGCTTACATAAACTTTGACTTCAGGCTCTTTATTTTTCTTAGGCATTGTAGCCACGTTCATGTACACGCTGCGCCATTTCTTTGGCAATTATTTCAAATACTACTCATTACGATAGGTTCCTTCAAGTTTACCTTGAACAGATTCATTTCCCCAAATATCAATTAAATGCCCAACTTCTCCATCCTTCCACTGACTCTCCTCCATTTTTACCTTCCTGCGCTGCCGGTGCAGGCTGATGATGTCAGCGCATGCGTATAAGCAAAAAGCCACATGAATTCCGATCTGAGCGTCACATTCAGGTCGCATGGCCGCGAATCGGATACGTATCAGATTTAGTACCACATATGAATGTGGCACAAATCTGATTTGAAAAGATCAGATCTGTGTCACATTTAAGGCAAAAAATCCGATTTGAGTCACTTCAGCACGGCAGTGTGAACGTAGCCTAAGATTGTTTTAGGAAGAATACAACAGCCAATCAAAATGTTTCACAGCCACTGAGAAAAATTTGGCACATTCCCGATACAAAATACATCACAACACTGACTCCTATATCGCGATCGTTACATTATCACGAAAGCCTCCTCCCAGTATCAAACACTCAGATTCCCATGAACACCTGGTGATACTGGGATTTCATTCCCCTCCCGTTACACATTCACTCTGTCTGGAAGGGCACATGAATGACATAATTGTCTTCTTAATGGCACAATGGCCAAGACGATTTGGGTGGGAATCAATGTCTAGCAGAGCTATGTCGGCTCCCATCATGCTCGTGCTTCTTTCACCCCGACGCAACACAATACGCCAATTGGCGAGTGTCATTTAGCTGTTTGCACCTAGGAGACATCAGTGCTTAACAGCTGTAGTGCTCTACATCATCATATTATGCCTTCTACGATACAGTCACAGCCAAACAAAAGCCGGAAGCCTTATTTCAATCCAACAGGTCTCCTCATCTTGATAGCGGCCTCACTCTTGCCTAATTCCACAATTGGGCCTAAATCCAAAAACTCATGCCGCTCCACTCACCCTCCATCAGCTCGCTGCCAAAGACGACGGCCTTGGCGTTCGAGATGGTGACGCAGTGCAGTAGGGCATCCATGCGCAGGTTGAAGTTTATGAGTGCCGCCTCCACGCCGATCTTGGCCATCCCCAGCCAGAGGCCCACGTACTGCGGCCGGTTCTCCATGAAGAGGGCCACCACGTCACCCTCCTTGAAGCCCCTCTGCAGCAGGAGGTTGGCCACGCGGTTGGAGTAGATGTCGAGCTGCCGGAAGGTCCACGCCTCGCCAGTGGCCTCGTATATCAACGCCGTCTTGTCCGGGTGCCGCCGCAGGGTCTCCGCGAAGATCTTGGGGATGGTGTTGCGCTGGCGCAGATGCCTCCTGACATTGAGCTTCACCCTCAGCAGTAGGAGAGCCGCGCTGTGGGAACACGGACAGGTCGGAACACACCGAGAAGGCCGGTGCCGTGTGACTCGTTGACAATTCAGCCGTTAAACCTGAGAACTTCAGCCTGGAGACTAGTTGGCTTTTAGCGCGAAGACCAGACACCGAACTCTCAATTAACATCATTGCAAAATGGACAGCGTCAGTCAGGCAGACATAGTATCACTAAATCTGCTAATACCAGAGAAGTCATACTTCCTTTTTTACTTCTCTTCCATTCATTGCGCAAGATTAGCCTGAAACCACAAGCCACAAATGCACTTCAGAGTCACGGCAGCCCCACCTATTTCCTACTTCAGCGCTGATCTTTCAGTTCGAAGACTTACGCAAAAACAGGCCAAAGGTGACTCCGTAACCTCTGTGACTACAATGGGGCGCTCCAGTTCCACATTCTGACTCAGCATTCATGCTGCCTCCCTCTATTCAGGGTTGACCACTGACAGTGACAGAACTCTCCAATTTATTAAAGTTCTCTTATTGGAATCTTCAGGAAAGACACCCTGTTACGACTGGTAATTCTACCTCTGACTAAGCAATCACACTGCCTGTTTTATTTCTGAGCTCAAAATTGCCAAATATGTTGAATTTCTCCTGTATAAAGTTCTCTAATTGAAACTTAACTACAGCGTTCACTCAACACGCCCCTGTTATCACCCTAAAGCTTGTTTTACCGGATGAGACAGAATTTCTGGTTTGAGGGAAGCTCAAAAATTAATACAATCCAACAAGACAGCCATCTCACGGGGAGATTGCACTAACCCACCCTAACCGCCTGCCTGCCCCGATCCAGGACTCCTACTCACCGGAGGTCTCTGCCCAGGGTCTTCACCACGATGTCAACAAATCGCCAGCCACCGGAGCTCAGGTAGAAAATGATGACACTGGTGACGACCTGCCACCACGGCAGGTCCATGATTAGTCTCAACAAGAAGAGTAAGCCGGTACAGCAGGCCAGTCGCAACATCCTGCAAGATCAGAAAAATAAAAGCTGTACAAATTCATAATCACAACGTTCCCAGGAGAGTAAAAACAGGAGGCCATAAAAACATCGATGAAGACAGGAACAGATCACATGCCCCGCCGGTACAAGGACAAACAGATCCAATTGGCTGTTCAACAGGCGTAGACATGACCCTGCCGCATTTTACATGTGGAATATTCACCTTTGGGCAGTAGAAAGTTCCATTTCAAACATACCTGGCACTTACAGGTCATTTAAGTAAAAAAACAAAAAAAAAGACTAACATTGCAACACAACTGTTCAGTGGTGTCCAAAATGGGTTTGCTGCTTCTGTGGGGGATTTTGTGTAGATCCAAACAATAAAAGCTTCGTGATGCACCATGTCACAGTAGAGGATCGTGCAATATACTCTATTTGACTATGAGTTGTCTGATAACAGACAGGAACATTAGAAGGGGCAGGAATAAAAAGAGAACAAGGCTTGATCCGTTCAGAACCGGCAAAAATGAAAATGTAACGACAGCACTACACTTCAACAGCATTCAAAGTTTTCACCAAACAACAATAAAACGTGCAATGTTCACACTACAGCGGCATGTCTTTTATAGAGATAAAAAAAAGAGTTGTGCTTCATTAGTTAATGACAGATATATGTGACTGCGGCGTAATGAATTATAATGGCACTCTTTAGGAAAGGCGAGGCTCTTCCTGCGGCGGCGGCGAGGGTCAGGTGCGGTTCGGCTCTGCTTTAAAACCCTGATCAGATGACTGCTAGCCAACATTAACATAACGTTTAGATGCTTTGGCTACTGCCATTTTCCAATATAAAGGCGTCAGTTAATCAACAACGGTGTTTTGTCTATGGGGAGAAAAAAAATAATATCACGCGCGGCGGCAGGTTGCCGACACGGAGGAAAACGCAGAAACCATTTTACCCAGCAAAACCATGTGCTCGGAAAAAAAAAAAACACACATCCGCATAACGTAGATCACGCCATCATTCAGACCAGAGCGGCTAAGACGCGGTAGCGTAAAGAGAGGGTGGATGCGGGAAGCTATCAGCACGTTTGATCCATACATGCCGTGCCAAGTGGCGGGTTCAGTGCCTCTGCCCCGGGACACACGGGCATAACGACCCTCCGTCCGCGATTCCTGGATTTAACCGCACAGACAGTATATGGCGGTCATTCCCGCCTAACAAATGTCGCCATATGACAGACGAGCGGAGCCAAACCGAGCTCTCTTCCATTTGGCGCATCGTACATCGGCAAGGTTGTTAAAGGACAGTCGCGGGAGCCACCGCTCCAATATTATCCCTCACATTTTGGTCTGTTTCCGGCCTGTTCATTACATTTCAACAAAACTCAATCAACAGCAGCATCAAAATAAATACCAGGATTTGGAGACATACCTTGATCGCACGCCCCGGTATCCAGCGAATATTCCGGCGAAATGATAACAGACGAAGACCCCCCCCCAGCCGCACGCAGTTCCTCCTTCGATCGGCTTAGCTAAACCGCCTGCCCTGGCTAACTAGCCAGCTACTGCATGCGTTTTAGTACACCCGGCGATATCACCAGCTATTCCGTGCCACTACTCCCCAAGGTGAGATCGCATCCCGGTCTTCGCCTTTTTAATTCATTGACTCATTCTTATCTACGTCTTTGTTTCATTGACTTAAAAAAAAAAAAAAAACAGTGGGTTGGTTTTGAGCTGGAGTTAATTCAAATGACCTTATAATTTCCCTTCCCTGCTCCCGCCCCATCGGCGGTCGTGATGGACAGGCGCCGAACCAATGAGGTCGCTCATCGCCTCTCGTTACGTCACCGTAGGCGGGACCTGACGTTGAGGAACAGCGCTGTCAAGGAGACTCGGCCCCGGAGCTCGGCGGTCGGGCGGCGCTCGGCGCTGCGGTAATGCGGCCGGTGGCAGGGCAGCCTTACTACACCCTGTAGGGGGGGCAAAAGGCACTGCGTACAAGCGACAAATAAAAACCTTCGGGAATAATGATTCATTTCGCGCATGATAGAACCAAGACTGCTGGGGAAAAATGTTATTCCTTCTCTAGTAATTCCGGATCCGTACAGTATGACATGCCGCATTTCTATTATTGAACTATTCAGTTCTTATAAAATAACTGTTTTAGCTGTAGTTTAAACAATATGTTGGTTAAATCAAAATAACCATTCGGCACGACTATTCCGATAGTAGGCAAAGCGGTAAAATAGACACAAACCAGAGATTACTTTGTTAGTCCATTTTAATGTTGTCCCAGTTTCCAATTATAGCTTTTTCTTACATAAAAGTATTGGAAAGTATTTTATTACATGTTAAAATGAGTATTGTGTTTTATGGTTTCTCATTTGCTTTTTATAATTATTACAAGGATAGAATACTGATAAGATTACACAATTAGCAATTATATCGTTTGGAAATGACCGTGTACACCTCAGATAACCATTTTTATTGCTAGATGTTGATATGACTGCTTGCATTAAACTCCAAAAGAGAATGTGGCCTGCTTTATAGTCTGGGGGATAAATCTGAGATTAGGCTCATTCAGAGATTAACATGGGGACAGAGTTCTTGTACGAAGGCAGTCAGGGTCTTCCCTGATTGCATTTGTGAGATATCTCCGGCTTGGATGGGGAGATGACAGAAAGACTATGTGCCTTCATTTATCCTTCAAAGATAGCAGTTGAGAACACAGCTATCAGCTGGGAAATTGAATGACACAGCATTTCTGTAACCTTTCTTATGTGTTCCAGTATTTGTACATTAACAGCAACTTGATGCTGATGTACAATAAAAAACACAATATATCTTGTCCTTTTTATTTAACTGCATGGTTGGCTGTAATCATACCATACATTTATAATCAGGAAAATCAATGTATGTGCATCAATCCTCCAACTCTTCTAGAAACATTAACTATTTAAATAAACATAACATTAAAATACATAACTTAAAAATCTCATAACCATTAGCACGAGGTAGGTGAAGCTCATTGCTCCAACACGCTCAGTTATACAACTTTTATTTTAAAGTGCATTATAATTTCTATGAAAAGACACACAATTCATGCTGTATTGTACAGGAGTTTAACTACCTGTGTACCTCCAAGTTGTCATAGAGAAGATCACCAATTCAGCAGAATTAGACCAGGTGTTGCAGAACTGGGTGAATAGGTGTAACGAGAAGTTTACCATCACTCCAGCACGTTAGAGTTCATGAAAGCAACACCTTAGTCATCTAGCTGAAGTCCAAAGTGGTCATACAAGTCGCGTGTAGTTACACCTCGAGTCATTGCTGCACAGACGGAGAAGCATGGTCACTCAAACGTCACTCATAAAACAGGAACCCTAGAAAATACAAATGCAAGCAAGAACTGTGCAGCACTCAACAGCTTAAGGCTGGTTCGTACTTCTCCGGACGTGTCTGCTCAAACGTTTATAAATATTAATGTAAAATATACACACATAGATAAATATACATAAAATACAAAATATATGGGTAAAAAATGTATGGTGCTGAAAAAAATTAACTTATTGCAAAGAAATGCAAATGACATATCACAGCGAAATAATTTAGTGCAGAGTAATCACATAAATAAACTTACCGAGTTTGCCCAACAGGGTCTGACCAATGTCCTTTATGTCATTGTACTCATGCAGCAGGTCAATATGCTGTTCCAATTCCTGCACTCCTACGCCCCTGTAAAAAGAAAATGACATTCGCTGGAGAACAGCAACTTGTTATGATGGAGGTCACTGTGCAGACCTGAACCCTCAACAATCTACAAACGATCAATGTCTACACACTCGCTTTCCAGGAGGGCGATCTCAGAATCCAGATTTGTACGCTTTCTCCTCAGCTCCTCGATCTCTTCCTCAAGGTTGGGCGGGACCAGGGAAGTATGGTGCAGGATGCTGGGAGACTGAAGCTTGTAGAAGGTGAAGGAGAGACAAAAAAAGAAAAAAAGGAGAGCAATGGTTAAATTCCATAAATGTATTGAACAAATGATTCACAGAAAAAGAAAATGTCTATTCCAAACAAAAAAGGACTAAAGGTGATACAATCCACATATACAAAATGCCGAAAGGGACAGTTGATGTTAACCTTGAAAACCAACTAAATGGTTTAGATGAAAGAAAAATATACACAAAGGATAGTCAGAGTTTGTAATAAAACATACATGGAATTGTAATAGACACAACATTGAAATGTGTTCATCAGCACTAGGTAAAGTTTTAACACTTTTATGGACAACCTGGTTCTTACCATCTTAACAGTTTTATCTGAAAAGTTGTTTTACAGCCAATATTCACTAGAATATAATTTCTTAAATAGAATAGACAATTAATCACTGCGGAAAAAAACTGACAAACTTACAGGAGATTTGAATTTGGAATTGATACTTTTAGATCCGGAGTAAGGCATCCTAAAGAAAAAGAAACAAAAAAATCAGCATGGTATCCGTTTTTTTTTTTGTTATCTAACTGAGATGTGTATGTACTGCATAACTAGACGCACATTATTTAATATCAATCTAACAATACTAGACAGGAACCAAAAGCGCCTCTGAAATGAAAATCTTTAATCCCATAATTAACATTTACCAAAATACAATAAACAGTAAAGAATGGATTTGAATTTTAATTCACACCAAGCCAAGAAACGCCAGTGACTCCGCTACCAACATCTTATGTATGCAACTTCACAACGTTTATTTAGTGGTAATTTTAATACTGTCGAAACAAAAGATACAAATTATATGGCAATAAGTGTACGGCGACGTGCATGGAAATGAAATAAAAACGTACTACGTGGATAAGTGAGCACTTTATTTTTTGAAAGTCCTAATAAAATTCAACAGAAATACCTTCTTTTCGGGGGTGTATTTGAGACCTTGCTAGCAACTTTAGGTTTTCGCTCTGAATCCATTACAAGTCACGCAAACGCCTTCTACGTAATTCCAGAAACTGTTCTTAAATACTTTAAACAATTCAGGGTAACTGAGAAGTAGCCATAAGCCATGAAATAGCCCGCCATGAACTCTTCGAAGACCAGAGCATTTCCGGTTCCGGTTGCGTAAACGTCCGAGTTAGCCAATCACAGACTGCAATTTACAATTCCACATTTAATTGGTTGAAAATAACACATGTGATGTGTTTATCGAGTAAAATTTAAATTTTGTTAGGCTTTAAATATTGTTCATGTTTTAATATCTTGCTGTATATTAATGGTTGTGGCTTGCAGTTACTTTTTGTACATGCCAATAAATGGCAGCTTAACGCACAGTATGCTAAAAGAGAAATTGATATGAATTTAAATAAAACCCATCATCTTACAGAAATCTTTACAAGACATACCGCGAGCATGTTGATCTGCCGTGAGTAGCTACATGCCAAAAAGGAGATCCTGCAAATGTAAAAATGCCAGTGTTTTACACCAAATTCACTTATTCAAACACATAGACGTGGAGAGTCTGAAGCGTATCCCAAGAAGCACAGGGCTTGAAGCTGGACACGCTGTGGGCATGATGTCAGTTCATCGCAAGGCACAAACTCACACAAGGACTACTGCAGAAACATCAGCCCACCTAACAGCATGCGAAAGAAAACTGAACTACCGTGGCCAAAATTAACTCCGAACATAGAGGCGAGTCACCACAAACTTACTACATCGCCCAATTTAACTTATCTCAATGCTGTTCTACTTCACCTACACAACATATCATTCTCATCCAATGAAGAAAGTTATTTCTAATTGCTAATACAATAAATTAAGCAGATTATTTTTTGTACGGCAACGGATGTGCGTGTATTTTCTGCGATGGTCTTTTTTTTAATAAACGAAGAACCGTAAAGGGCCATATACCGCCACCTATTGTTGGGAAAGTGGATCGGTCATGCAATGTTTCTTTCAATATGATCTTGTACATGATTAATCAATAACAACTATTTGCATTCCGCAAACCGCAAAATAATCCAAGAAGATGAAATGTCCTTTAGTACCAATTGAAAACAAAAATGTAACTCTTGCTGTAAAAAATCTGGAGCAGATTTTAAATATAGACGGGCGGAGATAAAAATCGAAAAGGCAACGCGAAAAATTGATCTTAAACACCGGTAAGTGGCGACAGAATCCAGTAAAGAGAAAAAATAACTCTTCGAGGCTGAGCATGACGTGTGTAATACCGATAAAACCAGCAGAGAAGACCGTTTTTAAAGAAAAGGATGTCTTTGAAAAGATACACTGCTAATAGGCTAATTACATTAATCCAAGGAAATTGTACAATATATGTTTTGCTTGACAATAGCCTATACTGGGAAATTGGGGTGTTATTTTGTGAATACAACTTCAAAAAGGAACAAAATTGATAACTGATCTTTATTTTTAACATGCATACAAAGGAGGAGCACAGATCGTGCGTCTGTAGTCAAAAAGTAGTTCTATCGTGCATGTTATTTTTGTATGACACATGTAGTTACTGTAGAACAACATGCAAAAGTTGTGTCCCCCACACATTTGTTACTGGCATATGAAAAACACAAATATCTTGTAATCAGCCATTCCATTAGGCATGGATTAGCAGGCTTCATATCAAGCCTGGTATTATGAAATCTGGGAGGGCATGAGTGAGTGAGAGTGCGGCTGTACAGATACTTTGAATAGATTGTAACTGATATCGGCATCTTTGTATCTGTGTCATGCACTGGGAAATGTTGATCAAACTGTTAATAAAAAAGCACAAGGGACTCGGGTGAGTGCTTGCTGTCTTAGGAAAAACATGAAAGTTAATCCGTGTGGAAGGGCAGCATTGGGCAAGGGCGCATATTTTGGTTGAGGAGTTACGGATATACGTTACCAACGAATGTGATCATGATAAAAATCCTTTTTACAAAATGTTAACAGACATAAACTGCCTTACATTTTCTAATAACCTGAACTCAACTACAACAACACATGTGGGACTGTTTTTTTCCTGCTGTCATCAAACTTTTATTATATATTAATTTCTTAAAAATAATATGTCGACGTCTCCAGATCCCTAGTTGACTCCATAATACAGGTATTCGTACCACCAGGGTAGCAAACAGCAGCCCATTAGTGCTCGCGGAAATCACGGTGTTTTTCAACTTTTTGGCTATATTGTTAGAGGTGAGTAGAATTTTATTAGGATTTTCCCAGAATGTAGACAATTTCTGGTCCTTGTTGTTCTCCGTACATCCACATGCTTTTCCAAATTAATCTTGGCGTCAGATCACTGACAGAGCCGCGTCCCTTGTGTCGTATTTGAATATTTTTCTGTTCAGCCTCTGTATCCTTTAAACACATCTGAAGCGTACCACAATGTAGCGCTTTGTTAGTTAAACGAAGAGAGAAAACGAATGAGAAAGTAATGCAAAATAATGTATACATCAAATACACGGGCCTTACAATACTGTAGTTCCCACAGGTTAAGCACGGACAATCTGAAGATCGCTACCTGCCTGACAGTAGAGGGCAGTGCCGAGTACACCATCGGGTAACAAGAAAACATTCTCACGTAAAAACATTTGCACGCAAACTCTCTCACGAAGAAACGCTCTTAAATAGGCCTACACACGCACACAAACACTTACATACTCACCCAGGCACTCTAAAAAGCTGAAACATTCTGTCAGGGGTTCAGAACATACACACTGCCTAAGTGTCTTCCGTTGCAACATCATTTAACCTCAATGGTATATTTGAGCTCAAACATTTTTCTCCAAAAACAACATCATTAACTCCATTTCATAATAATTTCTTTCCCTAGCTTTTAGTAAAAATGTCTGTATTTGCTTATTCTCATTAATGCTTAAGAATAGTTGACTATACAACTATTTTATACACACATATATATATATATATATATATATATATATATAATTTATTCTGATATTCTGATGTAAGTATATACCTCTCTGTATGACAGACAGTGTCTGTAGGTGAAACTACATCTGAATCTGCTATCAAACCCGATTAGGAGAGCCAAAAACCTCCTTTTTGAAGTTTATACTTGTGTGGAGTGGGTGGTTATCTAGCTGTTAAAATCCACCCATGTTATTTTGGGTCAGAACTTCTAGAGCAAAACACTTAAAAATAAAAATCACTTTACAGTCTCATTGATGTTTCTTTGATCGTTTGATTTGGACTATTGGGTGAGGCTATTGAGATCTGCTCATATTTATCCCTGAGAATTGGCAGTGTGGCAGATTCCTCACTCTTTGAGTGTGTAACTGTGCATATCCTCTGCCTATTCTCTTTCTGTGAAGTCTAAAATGGCTTTACTTCAGTACAACCTAGGCAGCAGTATCCTCCAAATCTGGGATAGCGAATCCAGCTATACGCAAAGCAAGTGGGTCCAAAGACACTGATGATCCACCCAAACTACCAGTGTGTTTCTCCTAGGTCCTTACTAGTAATTACATAGATAAAACTCATCCATCCATCCATCCATCCATCCATCCCATCAATCTCCAAACCACTTATTCTCAGGGTTGCAGGGATAAAATTTGCCATTTGGGCAAAATGTGCAACATCATTCTCCATCATTCCTCCATAACAGCCTCTCCAGTACAGGTTACTAGTGACCAAACTGCTCAGAACTGACAGGGAAAAATAATTAGATGCATATGTAACTCTTGGCTTGAGAGACTGTATCCATTGCATCATTCTTCTCATTCTTCAATGTTAAATGGAAGCCTTCCATCTTGATCAGATAACCATCTGGGAGCACTCGTACAATACATGTCCTGTTTGAGAACCCAAGTGAAGGCGGGGAAAACACGTCTATGTAATATTGTCGTAACTCAACTGATGTAACTGGTGACACAGTCGGCTACTTCTTCGTTGTTCTGCTTTGGAGGGGTGGATGGGAATGAGGAGGACCGGAGGCTCTGACTGATGATCGGAACAGATTCTGAGGTAGCATGATCATTCTTTGTGGACAAAAAACACGCAGGAGCCCTGGGTCAGCTGCCCACACCTCTCACACTGAGGCTCACTGCCGATCCCACACTCTCTTCCTGTGTGTGTGTCTTCTGGGGGAACATGTTTCTGTCTGTTTACTGGGTTACTCTGCATTATTGGTCTCACTCTCAGTGTCTCTGTGCCGTAGGTCTGCTGCGTGCCATGGACCGTCTTGCCACCCTTGTTGGCATGGTTATGGATCCCTGCCAGCGGGGTAGAGTTTGGTGGGGGAGGGAGAGCAGGGCTGGGAGGGTGTTTTTGGGCACCGGCATGCTTCAAGGGAACTGGCCATTTTCCATTGTGTGCATTTTTTTGTGCTTGTTTCTGTGCGCTTGGGGAGAAAAGGGTAGGGGGTGGGGGAGGCTGCTTGCTGGGAAACGACTTCCTCCCTATCCGTCTGACTGGGAGCCGCCAGCCTGGCTGCGAGGCTAACGACTACACGGCGGCGGCAGCCCTGAGCTTGGCAGCCGCGTTTCCACAGCCGCTCCTCCCCCTTCACCTCCTGCCGCTCTCCTCCTGCTGTGATTTGGGGACCTGAGGAAGGGAGGGGATGTAGGCACGCACCTTACCGCTGAGCGGAGCGCGCCGGCCCTGAACCCTGGGCGCTGATTGACCCCGATGTTCCAGGACCGCAGCCAGGTGAGTGGAGGGAGATTTCCATCGTGCCGTTTATCCGGCATGCCGTCATGTCAGCTGGCTAGGTTGCTTGTCCCAGAGCAAAACTAAGAAACTCAGACACAACAACAACAGTCATCTCAGGCGGACAAGTTGACTTTCTCCAGCGCGTGGCTCGTGCTAAGACATGGACTGGAATTTAGAGGTCTGGAGCGGATTCAGGAGTTATGAACCATTAAAGCGCCATGGTGAGAACTCTGCTGTGTAAGGGGGGGTTTCCCATCCCAGCCCAGTCAGCCCAAGGCAAATGCAGGCTTTTGCTCCAGACGAGCTCTTAATTAATTAATTGTCTATTAATCAAGTGATTTGAATCAGATTTGGCAAAACACTGTTGAGAACTGATTTTAAGAAGCATTGCAGTCATTACTATATTTTGAAATTTAACTAAATGCCGCATGCATCTAAATTAAGTACGTGGAACGAGTTGTTGTAGTTTAAATGTTGAACAATAAAGTAATAATCAAATAATTTAATGTGTATCATTCCATTTAAGAAGCAAAAACATACATTTTTATAGAGTTTTCTTTGCATTTCTTTGCAAGTTTTTCGGCAGTTCTTCCACAAATTTGTATTTAACTGTCTAAATAGCTATGTTAAGCTTATTGTAATGCATACATTATAATTTAAACTATCGTTAACTCAATAAAAGTTAAACAATAAGGCTGTGGAATAAAAGTCAGCAAACATAATGATTTTTTACCAGCATATAACATATTTTGTAAGTAAAGAATACAAAAAGCAAGCATCAAATATTGCTATATAGTGCACTGTTACTAAACAGTTGTGTAAAACGCCAGTCAGTTGTGTTAGACTGACAGTGAAAAGTAATTATTCTGCATGATATGAACAAGCATTTTAGTTTGTTATTAAAAATTTCAGCTAAAATTGAGCTAATTAGGCATCTTTGGTCATTGGCCTTCAAGGATTCCTTGATAGAATGTCAAGCTGTCCTCACAGCTAAATGACATGTGGATTCATCACCATCTCAAATAAACATGATGATTCATACATTGATAAAGGAAATATTTTTGAATGACTACAGCAAATTATATGCTAATTACAGTTGCACTATTTCAAACCCATCTCTGCAGCTAAAAATACATTTGTAAGATAACTGCCAATATACTTTTTGAATGTATAAATAATAATCTGTCCAACAGCTGTAAAGTATGATATATGTCAAATATGCAGCCAGACGAAAGGGTTTTTGTCTTACAAAGGGACGTTATGCACTCATAATAATTCAGAAATTGACTCAATATATGCTAATATTAAAAATGCTCATTTTGACTGATGTAAACTATGATAAACACAACACTGGAAAATACCGATCTCCTTGCTGTGAAAGTAAGGGGGCTTATGTAACCCACTTCGGAAGTCTAGACCAGGCTCCCTGAATTATTTTTTTGCCAGCATTTCAGGTATTTTCTTGGGGGGTGGGTCAGATCCTTGGGAGGGCAATAAGGGAGTGCGACCTTTTATATTGACAGCTCTGCATGAGGCCAGTGCTGGGGAAAATCTGTGGCGGAGACATCGTGTGCTCTGTGGGAGACTCAGCCTGCATGCTGGCCGTGTTTCAGCTGTGTCTGGGAACGCGATACACCCCAGTGTTCAGGCAGGGAGCGTAGATTAAGTCACCTGCCAGCAATCCCCGAGTACCAGAACAGATCCAGGAGTACAGATCCGGATAATCCAGATTTTCTCTTTTGTTTTAACATAGCATGCAGAACTAAGGCATGTTTGTACAGAACTGGACCCAACGCATAACAGAATGTAATATAAGGTATACATTTCCCGTAGGCATGTTGATATACCGGCAAAGCCATGCAAACATTACAGTTAATATACTGGAGTGGATGTGTTCATAATGCCTCTGTCAGCCGCTACAGATTGAAATGACCGATGTTTTTATTAAAGTGAAACAAAAACACTTTGGTTATTGATGGAATAATTTTCCCAGCTAATAGGATTATTTAAATATTAAGCATAGTCTGCAGCTAAGGGTACAACTGGCAGACTCTTGACGGTACAGCCCGAATGACAAGTAATTGTACTCTCACAAGGTACAAAATAGTACTTTTTTCTGACTGTGTATTACACTGTAGTTTGTTTTGCATTGTCTCGTCTTTTACTACACTGCTGTTTTGTCCTTTATTTGCCCTGTTGTCCCTTCATGCACCTGTCCCCTTGTCAACTGTGACAATAAAACATGATGTAGAGCAAAGCACTGAAGACTTCATGCGGAACATAGAAGAGCAGCGACTGAATCCGTGTCAGTCATCTGTCTTCTTTGCTTTCCTAAGGATGAGGTTCTGGCTACAAGGGGGGACCAGCCTGGTTCTGCTGGCCGCCTTAACACTCTCACTCTGCGGGAACCTCAATGCAAGTAAACAGGTATGAGGCAGCGTCTTACAGCCAGACAACCTTTGTAACACTTTTGTTATTACAGGGTCTATTTTTATCCAGGCGGTGCCGTGCTCCTGCGAGGCAGCACTGCAGCCCCACACCTCTTGCTGCGGGGGTTTGTATCCTGGCTCTGCGCTGTGTGTTTGCGAAGTTTGCAAGTTTGTTCTGGGTACTCTGGTCTCCGGCCACAGTCAAAAGACATGCACTTTGGTGTCTCTAAAGTACCCATAAGGTGCAGATGTGTGTGCCCTGTGATGGATTCTGGGATATGCAGGCCTTCCAGCAACCCTGTACTACAAGCAGAGGAATTGCTTATTTTTATCACTATAATGTTGGCTTAAAGTCCATATAAAAATTGTATGTGACTCTTTAACCTTTGGTGATAAGAGGACTTTTTAGTCGCAAAGCCAGGAAAGCACATATATGCATCCATTACCATGTTTTGTACCTGATAGTAAAGTAAACCAGCTTTTTATATTCCAGAAGGGGGGCGTGGCTTCCAACAGTGTGGCGGAATCCATGGTGACCGCGCATTGGTGGGAGGAGTGGTCTACATGGACAGCCTGCACACGCACCTGTGGAGGAGGGATCACGTCGCAGGAGAGGCATTGCTTAAAGCAGAGGTCAGTCATGTGACCAAGAGCAACATTATTTAAAGTTCTGTGCATCAATATTCTAGACCTGTGTGCCAAACTGTGCAACAGATATATGTTATTAAACGTTCGGAATCTGCAAAAGACCATGGCTCAGCACGGTTTTTCATGTGTTCATTGAAAGGAAGAAAAATACTATGGAAAAAGGCAATATGACCTGCACTGGCAACGCAAAGCAATACCTCCTGTGCAACACAAAGGTAAATTCAGAAGTAGCAGCCAAGCATTTGTCAAAGGAAAACTACATTGTTTCCCAACTCACTATTCAGTACGGGATAAAATACTATCGACAGGCCAGCCTGTGTATTGCAGGAGTGCCCTTCCTCTTGGCGAAGTTTTCGAGAGGAGCAGTGCTGGGCCTTCAACTCACAGATCTACAATGGAAGGAGGTTCCGCTGGAAGCCCCTCTATTCTGGTAACCGGAAGGCTGGAAACAGAACCCACCCCACTGACTTCTAAAAAACATGGGTTCCGACACTGGGGTGGATGTGGGGCAACAGGGGGTAATTTCTTCCCTGATGTTCAGAGTTTCCAGATGGTGCATGTTGTAGGTGAAGGATTTGCAGAAACACCATCCACCAGAACTCCAGTATGTACATGAAATATGCCCATCCTGTTTTGTTTTGGTATGTGCTGCCTTGCAGAAGATTATGTCCACATCTCCAGCAACCCATGTGACCTTCACTGCTCTACCCTCGATGGTCAGAGGCAGCTCATGGTTCCTGCCCGTGATGGAACATCGTGCAAATACAGAGATTACCGAGGAGTCTGTGTCAACAGCAAGTGCGAGGTTAGCGTGTCATTCATGGCTTTGAAATCTGGATTTCCTAAGGTTCGTCTTTAGGAAATAAGAATTATGATGCCTGCATTCATGTGTCTTTAGGATTAGGGCTACATTGTTTGGTCATGAAATCTGCGTTGCTAATAGGAATCACCACAGGTGCACCCATGGGAACAGACGTGGATTGAGTTTCACGTCGTCTCGTTGCAGCCAGTCGGCTGCGATGGGGTTCTCTTCTCATCCCACACTCTTGATAAATGTGGGGTCTGTCAGGGTGATGGGAGCCACTGCAGGAGAGTCACTGGAAGCTTCCACCAGAGTGCTTCTAGTGCAGGTAACTTGAGTCATATTCAGCAGTTTCCCTATCTGGTCCTAAGGGACCTACAGTCGATTTTTGTTCCCTCCCAGGAGTTTATAGTTATGTTGAATTTATCTTCTGGAGCTGTGAGGGAGCAAAAACGCAGACTGTCTGGGGGTCCCCAAGGGCCGCTTTGGGAAACACTGGTCTACAGCACTCACTCTCGTCTATCTTCTATAATTGTAAGCAGTGCCACTTGAAGCTCATGTGGAGTGTGGAGTTCTAGTCAAGCTTTACCGCCTGCACCCCCCTCAACACCATCCATCGATACTTGCTAAGTTGACACCCTTCCCAGAAGCTGGCACCCTTGCCAGCCACCTATGTCACCTTATTGGTTGACCGGCACTGGTTACAAGGTCTTGTTAGTAGTAAAGAGATATGAGAGATTCACCATGAGAGTCAAAGGTAAAGCTGCATCTGTGTTTTTCCCCTCAGGCTATGCCTTCATCACTCAAATCCCACAGGGTTCTTGGGACATCCAGGTCATTGAGAGAAGGAAGTCCGCAGATATTTTGGGTGGGTAGCTCCTGTTTTTTGTTGTGTCGGGAGTAAGGTGAGCCTCGACCAAAGATTCCAACCTTGTCTTCCAGACATGACTGTAGCTCAGTTTGTTGAGGATATGGGTTTGTGTCCAGATGGTCCAGCAGAGTGATGACGTCACTTTTGGGCCCATGCTCGAGGGACGCTATGACTCCAAGCTTTCTTCACTTGTTCACTTGGGCGAAAGCATTTACTAAATAAATAATTGTAGATATACACCAAAGAAAAAATTTCAGTCTTGTGGGGGCACAAGTAATGTAGTATTAAACTATTACTTATGCCTTAATGAACCACAAACTCTTAGATACTGATCTCATGTTCGTTCATCATTAACAAATCATGATACATTTTTTATCTCAAGCAGTTACTATTAGGGGTGCACCGATCGATCGGCGCACCGATCGATCGGCCTCGATCACGTTAATTTGAGGGGATCAGAAATCGACCATATTCCCATGAGATCCACCGATCTTAGTTATATGCTTTTAACTCTTTGGGGTCGAGTATGTCGTCGACGACATCGCGTACTTTTCGCGTACTTTTCTCGTCTATTTCAGTTTATAAATATCTCGCTGAAATCTTAATGTATAATCATGAAAAAAACGCTGGCTAAATCCGTAATCTGTCTTCTTTTCAAAACGTCCATTGTCGGAAGTATTAAAGTTTTTTTAATTAGGTTAAATCGGCAAAAAAAGTAAACCATGTCATCTTACTTTGTTTTACCTGCATCGGGGGCGTGTAGTACCGCTCTCACCCGAAGATCGCTATTCACATTCTAAATAGCCGCATTAGCGCGTATTCAAATCGCATTCGCATGGTAATTTGATTATCAGCGCAACGGTGAAACGCGATCCAGATACATCCCCTTCAGCGCCATAAAAGGGGGTTGGGGACGTGGCCAGGTGACAATGGCTCATTCATACACATGAAAGTTGCTACATATTCAATGAAAGGAGCCAGAAATAGTTACATGAGTTAGGTTTTTCTTATTTATTTATCCAAATTAATGTTGCATCTACACCATTTAGTCATCTTCATGTAGCCAAGACTTTGGTGATCAGATATCTGGGATCAAAACAAACTGCCAGCATTGCTTACTATGTACTTTTATAATGTTTCTGCAAGTGTTCCAAACTGCATTTTGCAATGTCTATACTTTGATGTCAAATTTCAAACTTAACAAAAATCTGACATATTTACAATATATATTAAAATAAAGATGAGTGTAATGGCAAAACAAATATATAAGAAATAATTTATTTGCCATGAATTAAGTGTGATGAAATGTGTGATCATGCCCCAGTCAGTGAAAGTGTGTTTCCTACCCCTAGGCCCCAGAGGGTTAAATCAGCCTTTTCTCCCATTCCCGAGAGAGGTGCAGTGCAGGCTGCCTCCCTCCCTATTTTTTGGACAAGTGTGTCATAACAGCTATATATATATATTTTTTTTTTACAAAATTAGAGAAATTAAAGTCTGGAAGAAAAAATATGATTTTGTAGTTCAAACAGCAATGCTCATTTATATGTTCATTTATATTTGAGGACACTACCTCATGTTTTGTGAGTATTCATATCAATTTACTCAATAAAAATGGAAACATTGAAGTAACTGTCTTTTAGTTATGAAAGAAACAAGATCGGCAAAAAAAAATCGAGATCGGCAGGTAAGGTTGCCTAAGGATCGGTGATCGTTGATCGGCCAGAAAACTGCAATCGGTGCACCCCTAGTTACTATATTTACTATATCTGTTAATTCTGTAAAATTTTGTCAACTACTGAAGGAGCAAGTAACAAATGCTGTGAAATACTCTCATGTTAATTAATTAATCATGACAATCTTTTATCAAGTAGTTAGTGTATTTGTTCATGATTTGTTCATGATTTATTCTCCAGTAGTAACTGAGATACTACTAAGTATTTGTGCCCCCTCAAGTAATGTGTTACCAAAACTTTATTTTACACAATAACCAAGGACAATATAGATTTGCCTAAAGTAAATGTCTTTGAAATTCTGGTTTTGGTATGGAAATAGTGAGACTTCAATAAACATGGGAAGAATTTTGGAATTATAAACAATTTAAGTCAGATGTGAGACAAGGGTGTTATAGTTTGAGGTACTGTGGCACTGTGCTGAGTCTGTGTTTCCAATTCCATAGTAATTGGTTATACAATAAGTTCTGCAAAGTTAACAGTCTTAACTTCATTTATTGACATTAAGACTGACTGATTCTTTAAGAGTGATTAATCATGTCAACTGAAAAAAGTGTCCTGAAAAAATGAAAAGCAAAGTACGATGTCTACTGAAGTGCTGAATTGACAAATACTGTGAAGGCAAATGCAACAATATCCTTCATATACTTCTAATGGTTTTCTAAGGGGTTCAGTGGTGATTCTGTGTCTCTGTGCTGCACAGCTGTGACCGACCAGGCTGGGAAATTCTTCTTTAATGGGCCGTACAGAATGGACAACCCACAGAACTTTCAAGCTGCTGGGACAATCTTCAAGTACCGACATCCCATGAACATACATGAAACTGGAATTGAGTACATTGTGGCGAAGGGGCCCATAAATCAACCCATCAATATCCTGGTACTGTTACCTTTTACCATTGTAGTGTCACAGGATTTATGGGGAACCAGTGACAGTTTGTGGGTCTACCAGCATTCCATCCACTACATTTAAATGAGTATAGTGAAGGTACCACAGTCCCATTCATCATATGCTGTACTTCCTCAGAATAATAATAATGATGTAAATATAAAAGTATATGCTGCAAAACACCAAATTTTATTCACTTTTGACCTTATGATGATTTCTACAGCACCATTCAAAAGTTTGAGGTCACTTAGAAATTTCCTTGTTTTCCATGAAGACATACATAAAATGAGTATGAATAGGAAACATAGCTAAGTAAATAGGAAATAGTCATTGACAAAGTTAGAAATAATCATTTTTTAAATTAAAATAATTATAATGTTTTTCAGACATTGCTTTAGTCAGAATCTTCAAACAGCAATTACAGCCTTGTAAACCTTGGGCATTCTAGATGTCAGTTTGTTAAGGTAATCTGATGAGATTTCATCCCGTGCTTCCGGAAGCATCTCCCACAAGTTGGTTTGGCTTGATGGGCAACTTCTTACGTACCATTAGGTCCAACTGCTCCCATAAGAGCTCAGTAGAGTTCAGATCTGGTGACTGTGCTGCCAATCCATTGTACACATAATACACAACATTCCACTGGAACATAGGACTAACCGTTGCTGATAATAGACCTCTGTACACTCATGTAGATATGCCACTAAAAAACAGCCATTTCCAGTTATAATTGTAATTTACAGCATCAACAATGTCTACACAGTATATCTGATCAATCTGATGTTATTTTAATGAATGATTTTTTTTCAAAAGCAAGGAAACCCCAAACTTTTGAACAGTAGTCTAGGCAGAGGTGGATGATTCAGGTCCAGAGAGTAAAAATCCAGACCAAGATTTTGTTTCAACCAACTTGTTGAGTACAAAGAGTCATAGTCAAAGAGCACTCAACTGGTTGGTTGAAACAAAATCTTAGTCTGGACTTTTACTGACTGGAGCTGAATAACCCATCTCTGCTTCTAGGTGTGGAACCAGAATGGTGGAAGCCCCTATATCACCTATGAATACACAGAGTGGCAAATCCCTCCTGCCCTGCTAATGGAAGGTCCACTGACTGACGCTGGACCTGTAACGAACAAGGGTGTTTCTGAAACTGACCAGAACCAAGTTGTGGGGCAGGAGCCCAGGGCAGAGGAAGTGGGGCAGCTGAAGGGCCAGGTGACTAATGAAGTATATGAGGGGACAGTGGTCATCCACTCCAAGCAAGAGCTCTTGATCCCGCCTCACAAACCAGGTGACGTGCCTGAATCTCATGGCATCACATCCTGATAACATCACAACAATTGCACATCCCTTGTTCTTCCACATCTCAATACACACTCAATCTCTAAGCACACTACTTGTGCGATGACCTCATCCCCTTATTTAAGCTTATCCCTCTAGGAAGTCGTCAATTCCTTCGTGATGAATGTACAGGACCCTCTAAAAGAGACATTAGAAATCCCATCTAAGACTAACACTGCAACCTGCTTGACAATCCAGTTGCCCAAAAATATAACTCTCCATTGCAGGATCCTGCAGTTTTTAAAGGTTTTTAGGCAGCCTGAGAGAAAACTGTAATTTCACCATGGTTCACTAGACAGATTTCAAGCTTTCTGTGCAAAGAACACACTTTGCCATCCTTTATTCATGGTCAGCCTTACAAAGAGCAGTACGCAAATGAAAAATTGAAAGGCCATTGCATTTTGTCCTTTCATAATCAGAGAATCTCAGATGTGAGTGGTCGTGGCTTCACAGTAGAACCTCTGGCCCAGGTCTGAGGTCTTAGTGCTGAAAAGGATAACCTTTGTGGAGCTAACTTTATGTACACCTGTCCGAACTTTCTCAAAGGCTCCCCTCCACATGCCACAGGAAAGTGTGCATCACTCAGATAGCTGGTATGGTGATGGAAGGCCTAGACCAACTTTGTGAATGTAGCTGTTGGAATTCAGAGGTTTCTTTCCCGTTACTGAAAACTGTACATTGTTAAGAATTTTTTTTTTAGTTTCAATGCTTATGGTGAGTAGGATCAGTTTGGACAGTTACCCCACATGTTTAAACCATCAGTTTATCAAAAACTCCAATAAGATGTAGATCAAACCGTTCAGTGCAAGATAATCACATTCACCACATCAGTCATCAAGGAATTCAAACCGTTGTTTTCTGCTCAATACTGCATTCACTTGATTTTTTTTATTTCTTGTGACTTTGTAGGGAAGAACAGCACCCAGTCAGGTGACATGGGTGCCGGTGAAGACCCAGTGACCAACAAGCCAAGTTCAGAGAATCTCATCTGGAATATGTTTCTGGGGAAGTCAACTGCTTCAGGGATGCTTCACATCAATTTCTCCACCAATCAGCTGCTCACTGTAGGACAGAAGTTACATTCAACAGAAGTGGAGCCTCCAGGGCCACATGCCACCAGTCTGGATGGTGGTGCTCCCTTTGGTCACAACAGCTCACTACAAGAGCGTATTCACAATAATGACACAGGACACTTTCTTCTTCTCAACAGGACACTGCTACACAGCTTTCACAGTGGCAACAGAACCAACCACACCAGGTATAAATGCTCATAACGTCCTGCTGAACCTCTCTCCTTCTTAATGTCATTTATGGTCTTGCCTCATGTGGAGATTACAGACAGGACATCCTGATGTTGCAGAGTTCGATGTGATTCTGGGTCAACAAAGGAGGTGCTTGCTTTTCCCTTCTTTAACCAATCACAGTCTTCATCGTATGAAATCACATTGGTCCATTTTTTTCATTTTCAATCTCAAGGCTTCCAGCCATTCGGTTTAGGGGCAGTGTGTGTCTCAGCAGTCTAAGCCTCTGTGCCTGCCACCACAAGGTTGCTGGTTCGAGCCTTGTTGTTGTTGTGACTGTTATCAGCATGAAATAGACACATTTGCTCCATACAGCCTCTGCAGGTTTGCATTTTCCTGTTTAGTCTGTTTATCCATGACATGCCCCTTAACAAAAGGCATGCACAGTAAAACAGGTACTTCAGAAATCTGTGACCTTGCTGCTTAATAGGAAACACTGGTTTTAACCAATGCGGTGATGTCATACGATGAAGACTGTGATTGGTTAAAGAAGTCAGAGGCAAGCCCTTCTCTTGTTGACCCAGGGAGACATTGAACTCGGCAAAATCAGGATGTGCTTATAGACAGGGCAGGATGGATTAGCAGCTTTTGACATCGGGACAGTAAGAGAGAAGATAGTTTACGGGGGGCCACATATGTCTCCCGGCAGCTGTGCAGAGATTGAGAAGCACTTCATAACCTGGGCACGTTCAGAAAGTGCCCAACCTTTGGAAACGGCAAGCTGAGGAAAGGTTTGCATTTCATCATATTTATAATTCATATGCACGTCTCTGTATAACATCCAAACACTATTTTAGTGGTTTGACTGTCTGGAGATGATAAACAGGAAAGAAACTCATTTTAATTGCAGGAGAGACTGAAGATTCTTTACAAAAGTAGAAATATAATTTATATATTAGATGGCTACAGCTTATCTTGGTATACCATGCTAATTTGATGAGAAAAAAAAAAATTCGCCTTTATATCTTTTATACTGAGCCAAGATTTAATGTCCTTTTGAAAGCCGGGCCTGAATCTGCAGTTTATTATTTGACTGCAGGAGAGGAAAAAACATTTGAATTTTGGTCTTTGAAACCTCATCAATTTTGTGAAAACAGCTGCGACCAGTTTAGCTGTAAAATCAAGTGTCTTAATTAGCTTATTGAATCACTGACTATTTAATGAGGAAATGTGAAATGGGAGACATCTCAAATCCTGAGACCTTATTCTGGAAATAAGGGCCAAATGTAATGTTTTTTATGCCGTTTATTAAACTCTGACACCCATATGTTCACCACTGAATCCATTAGTGTAAAAAACAACTTCCTTTATGTGACAGGACTGTGGCCTGGTGCAGCACCCCCCCCTAATTTTGGCATTTCTAATGGGATTGCTGGTGTGAGATAAAGCCCTATCTAAAGAAGCTTAGGAATGCCTTCCCATACGTGTCACAAGCTATGGGTGTGCTAGGTATTACACAGCAGGTGTTTCCTGTCATCCCACATAAACTATCTATGTAAGTAATATATTTTACATGTAGTCGGTGTTTTCTGAAACTGGTTACTGGTTGCATGGGACACCAATCATGACTGGTGACTTTCCGTGTTTTTTTGTTTTTTTTTGGTTTTCATTCCCTGGGACTGGCGTGCTTACAAAGCAATGTGGGTGTGCATATCTGTCTCTATTTCATGCACTTGTTTTTGTTGTGGTCACTTGCATCTTTACATATAGTAGATGTGCAGGTGTGGTGTCCGGCAGTGTTTAAATTGTGGGGGATCTTGGGGGTCCTTGGAGCCCCCATTAGGAAGAACTTATATGTATCTGTGTACCATAGCTACAACTCCATATTACTAACCCTACCCCCAGTCCTGCCCATGCCCCCCCCCCCCCAATCAGTCCCCACATGGCGACTCCCCAGGATGTCTGTCACAGTTCTCATACTTGTATCCGGATTCCATACGCTGACTTGGTTATAGGGCTCATTGGGTTTGGTGCAACAATTCGGTTCTCTTTGTGTCGGCAGGAGCCACTGGAAGAACTCTGGGCTGAGCACTGCAGACATGTACCGCTGGAAGCTCTCCTCCCAGGAGCCCTGCAGCAAGTCCTGCTCCATAGGCACCGTATCGTTCACACCCGCATGCACACACAGGCACAAAACGAAAGTTCTGAAATCCGGAACGATAATCCTTATGCTTGATATACAATAGCCTTGTTTCTCTGGTTCTGATTGGACGACAGGTGTGGCCAGATCCTTTGTCACCTGTGTGCGCTATGATGGAGCAGAGGTAGACAACACCTACTGTGATAACCTGACCCGGCCAGAACCCGTCCATGATTTCTGTATAGGAAGGGAATGTCAACCCAGGTAAGCTTGGCGTCGATGTGCAAGTTTACACAGATCAAGTGCTTAAGTTGACGAATGGTCCAAATCTCCTGTCTGAAGCAGATTGTACCATTGCTTCTTGTGACATTGTTGCAGTAGCTTCATATCATGGTTGGCTGGAGGGTAACTCTTTATAGGTGGGAAGCAAGCAGCTGGAGTGAGTGCACCCATACCTGTGGTGAGGGGTTCCAGTTCCGGCTTGTCCGCTGCTGGAAGATGCTGGCCCCTGGCCTCGACAGCTCAGTCTACAGTGACCTCTGTGACCTGGCACATGTGGAGCGACCAGTGGAACGACGCACCTGCCAAAACCCCACCTGTGGCCCCCAGTGGGAGGTGGCTCAGTGGTCTGAGGTGAGTTTCACGGTGGGTTGGGATACCAGCCTGGGGAACGGACGCAGTTTCCCGCCATGTGAGCTTGCAGTCTTTTTTTATAACCATGCTGGGTGGATTTGGGACACTTGTTTTGGACTGTGAAGGCTGATAAAACAAAGAATTGGATCTCTGTCAGTGTACAGCCAAGTGCGGCCACTGGAGTCAAGTGACCAGAGATGTCAGATGTTCTGATGAAATGAACACATGTGACGAATCGACTCGGCCGGCATCCATCAAAAACTGCACCGGCCCGTCATGTGAGAGGCAGTGGGCTGCATCTGAATGGGGGCCAGTGAGTATCATGGGGGAGCAGGGGCCTCAGGTCCAGTGAGTACCATGAGCGGGGAGCCCAGGTCCAATGAGTACCATGGGGGAGTAGGGGCCTCTGGTCCAGTGAGTACCATAAGAGTGGGGGGCCCAGGTCCAATGAGTACCATGGGGGAGTAGGGGCCCCAGGTCCAGTGAGTATCATGGGGGAGCAGGGGCCTCAGGTCCAGTGAGTACCATAAGAGTGGGGGGCCCAGGTCCAATGAGTACCATGGGGGAGTAGGGACCCCAGGTCCAGTGAGTAGTATGTGGGAGCGGGGGCCTCTGGTCCAGTGAGTACCATGGGGGGTTGGGGGCCCCACGTCCAGTGAGTACCATGGGGTGGCCCAGGTCTAGTGAGTACCATGGGGGGGTGGAGGGGCCCAGGTCCAATGAGTACCATGGGGAAGCAGGGGCCCCAGGTCTAGTGAGTATCATGGGGGGAAGGGGCCCCAGGTCCAGTGAGTACCATGGGGGAGTAGGGAGCCCAGGTCCACTGAGTACCATGGGGGAGCAGGGGCCCCAGGTCCAGTGAGTACCATGGGGGAGCAGGGGTCCCAGGTCCAGTGAGTACCATGGGGGAGCAGGGGTCCCAGGTCCAGTGAGTATAATGGGGGGTAGGGGGCCCAGGTCTAGTGAGTACCATGGGAGAGCAGGGGCCCCAGGTCCAGTGAG